TATATATATATATATATATATATATATATATATATATATATATATAAACAATGTTTCAGGACATTTGTTAACATGTTTCAGAACGTTGTTCACGTTACTGTATTCAACATGTCTGCATATTTCTAACATAAATTAGCATGCTGCTAGCCTGTCATTGATTAGTTGCTAGGCTTTGCTTGTGATGTATAACTACACAGATAGACCTTTAACTGTGTGTAAGTAGGTTAAACTCAGTAGGGTTTAATGTTTGAAAGTTTTCACCCCCTCAATTAAAGTCTATCTGCCATTTAACAAAAAAAAAAAAGATCAAAAGTCTGATTAGCAGTGCCAGATTAGGCGGTTTTTAATTTGATTGTGCTCCATTCAGTTAGTAGTGACCAGTGCATATTGCAAATCATGTGGAGCCCATTCGCAAAAGCGGGTGAAGGAATGTTGTATTTAAATCTAACTCGCCCTTGCGTGCAGGCTCATCACGCAGTGCCAGCAGTTTATTGCAGCGGTTTAATTATAACACTTCTATCGATACTTTTTTCAGTGACAGCAAGAACAAAAATACAAGAGTTGTCTGATTGACAAACAGCACCTTATTATGTTCAAAAGAGTTCAAAATGCTAAATGAGACAAATGTATACCCCATTTCGAAATTAAAACAAACTCTTGTAGGTAGTGTAATCTACACAACAATAAGTGCAGTGTGTAGGTGAGAGGGAGGCAGTGTTTCGATGTGATCCATTTATATTGTGGTTTTGTGACTGCTGGTATTGGTTGCTGTACTGTTAAAAATGAAGACAGTTAAAGTTAAACTAGGTTCACTTTGATTTAAATAAAATAAAATTAAATATTTATCTAATATTTTGGGTGGTGGTTTGGGCGGGTTTTGGACAGCTTTTCAGCTAGAAAAAGTTGACCATCTGGCAACACTGCATAATTAAATCTGGCACCAACATAATTTACATCAGTATAACACAAATACTCGGCTCATACCGGAATTAAGGGCCCAACACTGAGCGGGGCCTTCCTTCAGAGTGTCAGGAATCTCAACGCCGTTCTTGTCCACACACCAGCAGAAGTCAGTCTGTTCCCAGCACTGCTGTGACAGGTAATCTCCATTCTCGTTACACCTTGGCTTGAAGGACGGCAGGAGACTCTTGACCTCCCCTGCAGCCTCCTTCTGGCACTGGGTTAGAACTTTGGGCTCTGGGTGACAGAAATGACAGGTGTGTGTGAGAGCAAAAAATACAAATTTGTGAAGATCTAAATGTGATGATTTGACTCAATCTTGATACCTGGTTTGGGAGATGAGGGAGGAGAATCCTGAAATACAGAGCACATTGGCATACATCAGAACTGTAGAAGATGGGATTTATGTGCTGACGTTTTTAAATTTGGACATGCTGTCATCATTTACTCACCCTTCACTTGTTTTAAACCCGTCTGAGTTTCTTTTGTTAAACACCATTTATTGAAGAATGTTGAAAAACAGTATTTTTTTCTACCATGAATGCCAATGGCTGCTGGTATCCAATTATGTTATGTTTATGTTTGGTGTTCAACAACAAAAAAAGAAACTCAATGGTTTAGAACATGGGTGTTCAAACTCAGTCCTGGAGGGCTGGTGTCCTGCAGACTTTAGCTCCAACTGGCCTCAACACACCTGCAGGGATGTTTCTAGAAAGCCTAGGATCTTGATTATCTAGCCCTGGTGCGCCTCCTCCTTGGGCTTGGAACTATACTCTGTAGGAAACTGGCCCTCCAGGACTGAATTTGGACACCCCTGGTTAAGAACAACTTCATGGAGCGTAAATGGTATATTTTCATTCTTTAGTTAAAATTGATTTGAATTACTAACTCAATCCTGACACCATGTGTCCACCAAGCAGTATTACACCACTTTCAAGAAAGGAAATAAGCTTTACCTTGTTCTCTTTGGTGTCATCCTCATACTTCAGAGCAAGAGAGCTCATGGGGAGATGCATCTTTAGCGGGGCTCGCATGGCTGCACAAAACAGTTATAAAGTCACTATTATTACACTTTCATTTGAGGACATGTTTATTAGTATATTAAAGGCATAGTTCACCCAAAAATGTATATATTTAGCCTACTCATCTTTTAATCATTATAAAGTGTTTCCAAACCTTGACAAGTTTCTCTTGTTCTGTTGAGCACAAAAACTGTTTTGAAACCAGCAGCCGTTGACATCCATAGTCAGAAAAAAATGGCTACAGGTTTCCGTCATTCTTCAAAATATCTTCTTTTGTGTTCAACAGAAGAACGAAACGAACAAGTGAAGGGGGAGAAAATGTTTAATGAACCGTGACTTTAAGGATGATTTTTAAAAGTATAATTTTTATATTCTTAAAGATTGAAATGAGATTGAAATGGACAGTGCGTGCTATGGTTTTCTGACCAGATTTACGGCTGATCTCATGCAGGCGGTCTCCTCGTCTCTCCAGGGTGTTGAGCTGCTCTTTATGACTGTAGGCCATGTAAGCAGTGAAGGCCTGACCTGCGATCAGTATCCCAGCCAGCAGAGTCACTCCTGCTACCTTCAGAGCCTGATTCTTATTTCTGTTAGATAACAGATCAGTTTATTCATCCTATAAAAAATCGCTGTGTCCGAAAGTGGGTAGATCATCATGTTATATTATTTTAAAATTATTTAATATTCATTTTAAAATAAGCAAATATATATATATATATATATATATATATAGTTTTATTTTTCACAAATACATTTTTGAAAATATATATTAACATTTAAGATAATTTCTAACGTTTCAAACTGTTTAACATGCAATTTTTCAACATTACGTAACTAATTTTACACAAGGGTATTTTAGGTGTCCATCCACAACCTATTTTAATGTTGAACATTTATTTTCTTGACTTTGAAAAACATTTAGAAATGTATTTTCAGTTACAAAATTTAAGGTAAAAATATATATTAGATTTTTTTTACCGTATGGGAACGCAAATCTGAAGGCACTACGCATCTTTTTTACATTTATTTATTACTAACAAAATTTAAATTTTACATTATATAAATGTGCTGCTTATGATGACATTAAAATCAACTAAAATGCTTTTTATACACAACATAACACAATTTAATTATAAACGGTAGAATGTTTTGTTTACATGATCTTATATAAAATAACTTTCTCACCTTGGCTGAGGTCCCATGTTAACTGAAGATTGGTCACTTATTAGTGGTGTCTCGTTTCCCTCGCTAGACATTTTTGATCAAAAGTCTGAAAAACTTATCTTGATAAGGGATTTTCCTAAACTCACTGTGATGTAAAAATTTGAGAAATGAGAGTCCAGTGAAGAGACTCACTGCAGAAAGCTCGACTTTAGCGATTATTGATTGGATGAGGCGGGCTGCGTCATCAGTTGTCAGACAACAGTAGAGTTGAAAGCGCTCGTTCACATCTCTCGCCTATTCCTAAACGCATACCGAGTGAAAATTACAAAGTACTTTCTTGAACTTTAACAATGTTTTTGTCAGTCATTTTCGGTTTTGAGTTTTCCAACACAATAGAGAGGCTACTTTGATATTCGCCGGTGTTCATTAAAGTGATAGACAGTGACTCATTATAAAAGATGCTCTTTAAGGTCACAATCACCACTGAAAATGTAAACATTTTATTACTTGTTTAAAGACTAAAAATGCAAAGCTTCAAGTAAAATTTTACTGTCAAAAAGCTTCACAAAAAGTATTTCAACTGAGAATTGCCTTTTAACTTGCAGAAAGAAATTAAACTCTCCTATTGTTTAGAATGGAGGCCTATTTTATGATGCTTTTCCTTTCAGTTCCATTTTACAAAGCAAACCATGCTCAATCCGAAACAAGACAACTTTATGACTTTATGAAATAAACTACTAAAGAAACAGCACTATTAAATATGCGAGTACATTTTTTACTTTAAGTTTTGCTTAATAGGCGATGCTACTTTAAAAGCAGTAAATAAATGGTCAGAATCAAGCAGTGGGTTGTGTAAACGCCCCTAAAGAAGAGATGACAATATTTACCATTGTTTAATGCGGCCTTAAACTAGAGTCTGATTTTTATCTTTTATTTTGTCTCAATACAATATTTTGCTAATTGTTTGCATTCAATTCGCTAAATTACCAGCAGAAAAAAAAAAAGATTTTAACACCAGCATTTGTGAAGGTCAAAACACTTTCTACAAAGAGGAAATGAATAATTCAGGCTTGATCTCAATGAGGATGTTTTCTTGGTATTCCCCTAGTGTCCATTTGGTTTCAGAAGAAGTTTCACATTAACAATAAACCGGTTAGACATGATCAATCATCTTACAGGAAATCAAACAACTTCAAAACTCCAAACCAGAGCTTTCACCAGTGCAAATCACATGATCGTTAAAGACGACAGGAGGCAAAATATTATTTGACACTTTATTCTGAAAAATATCCAATAGATTACAGACGACGTCCACGACGACCTCCCTTTCTGCGGGTGCTGTCTGATGGAATGGGGGTGACGTCCTCTGCAAACAACAAAGCCAGTCAATTAAACATGAAAAGTGACCAGAGACCAGGCTTCACTGAGTTCTGGACTCAACATACCGATACGACCAATCTTCATGCCGGAACGAGCTAGAGCCCTGAGGGCAGACTGTGCCCCTGGTCCAGGAGTCTTGGTTCTAAAGGTGGGGGAAAAACAGCATGTAAGGTTCATGCATAATCCCTACAAACTTTCCTTTAAGCATTTTGATTCAAAATAAATAAAAAATCCACATGGTCTCGGAACCTCACCTGTTTCCACCAGTGGCCCTCAGCTTGATGTGCAGAGCAGTGATGCCCAGCTCTTTGCACTTTTGAGCCACATCCTGAGCTGCCAACATAGCAGCATAAGGAGAAGACTCATCTCTGTCGGCCTTCACCTTCATCCCACCAGTCACACGGCAAATTGTTTCTCTGAAGAAACAAAGAAAACACTTCAGAAGACAAAGAGCACCACAATGAGCTGACATCACCTGATAATAAAACTGTTTACCCGAAAATGAAAAAGGTCAACATTGCTCAGCCCTGAAGTTTAGTTGAAGCAGGGTTGCGAGTAGCAAACAAGCCTGAAAAACTGATCAGGTTGTTTAATTATGGTGGAAGCTAAACTCTGCTATATCACCGATGTCCAAGTTTTCATATTCATAATGATTATGCAAAAAAAAAAAAAAAAAAAAACTTTACTATAAAACAATGCAAAGGTTATGAAGTAATGTCCTTTCTGCTCAAAATGATTATGCATTTATGTAATAAACTGAAAATACATTACTTATAAATTATCAATCATTTTTGATTAGCATTTTGTGGCTTTTTCAGATTGACTCATTTGAATGCAGTTTTGCCTCGTATTCTTTTAAAATTAGAAATTCTATTTTAAAGTACAACATTGGCAACCATTACAACAATGACAAAAATAAAAGCCAATGGTTAGTTACAAAAAAAGCATAGTTATGAAAACAACAATAAAACAATTACAAAGTAAAACAATTACCAATCCTATGGCCTTTCAAATACTTAGAAAAAAAAAAGTGTTGATTATGAAAACGTAAGAAGTTGTGATACAAGTTAACTTCAGCATCCCATTCTAAAAGTGTAACGCACAAGATGCTACAAAAATTGGATAAAATGCAGCAAACATGTCCATCATACTCAGAGGGGAAAATGGAAATGCATTGTCTAATAAATACTATTTCAACATTTTATAATATTTTAATAATTTCATAATAGCTGAACATAGGGTATTTAAAACCTTTTACGGCCCAAGCTGTTTTTTTACATGCATTTTTTTATGTCTTTGCTATTTGGGCTTATTGGAACCCATTTAGAATAAAATCTAAGTATCATCTTTTATACTTTTAAAGAAATTTCCATATATGTGGACTCTAGGTTTAAATTTCCATAAAACACAATAAAGTCACCTTTTTTTTGCCTTCATTTACTAAACTTTCCACTTTATTTAAAGTTTGGAATAAGCCTTTCATTATCCAGATGATTACTTACAGTATTTTATTCACGTTGTAGTTAAGTCACATGTATATAAACATTTATCTCAATTATTTGCAACACTAAGTCATCAAGCACAATGTGTACCATTGTAAAATACATTTTCTTCAAATCCAAGTATGTTATGTTGTGACTTGACAAGTAAATGATTTGTTTGGTTAGATTAAGTAGCTAAATAAGAACGCACTAATAATAATGATGATAAAAACCTTAATCCTAAGTATAATGGCAGTACACACTCAGAGCCCCAACAACACCGTGACGGTTAAAAGGATTTTCTCATTCTCACAGCGTAAGTGGTTTCTATTTCTGCGACATCACGAATTGAACAACAGCATTAACTACCATGACAATGACCACCACAGGAGATGATTATGTGCTTTTAGGTTTTAATGAGTTGGAATGTCATTTTATTTGACATTTATTACTATACTGAAAGATGATGGTTTACCTTCCTGATCTTGAATATCTAGCAATGTTTAAAAATTACACAACTGCAACTTGAGCAAACAAACATCAGTCATTCATCACATGCTTTTAATAATGTTAAAGATGTTTAACATGTATTAATTCATATATAAGCTACAATGTTATCATTTGGTTGCCAGTGCAGTGAATTTTTGCAATTCTAAATGGCTCTGGTTTGTAAACTTTTCTGTTGCGTTGTAAAAAAAAAAAATTTATGAACTACTCTGAAAAGCCCTAAAGCTCGGCAGCCGAAGTATGTGTATTGGGTGTATGAAATTATGACCACTGTAACATCTTAAAGTCAAGTGCTATTTTGGGGTTTCCGCCTGGATTTTCGTCAACCCAAATTCAAAAGGTTCCCAAATCGAAATGCAGAGATGTGGTATCATTTAAAAAAAAAAACCTTTGAAATTTTCAAAAAAACAGTTAAAAGTGATTAAAATAATTGTACATGTTATCTATGTTACAATAAACCACTCCAAAAGAGGCACTTTTTCTGTAAACTCAAATTTGAAAGTGTACCTTTAAGTTCTGTGTGGTCTGGGTTGCTGTATTTATTTGATTGGTTACTGCACATGTCAGTAAAAAATAGGAAAAAAAAACATCTCTATCATAATCTATACTACGTTAACAGAGAACGGAACCACTTAGGGGGTATTGAGCCAGTAAGGACCATTAAATTTAAGAGTGTGGAAGTAAATGACATCACTGACCCGGTACCAGAGCTTAGAAGGCTAAAGCAAATCACATATAGCTTTTGAATAACAAAATGGTGCTACAATATTTTAGTTGAACCACTTCAAACATTCAATGCAACAAAACTCAAGCTAATGATAGATTAGTGAACAATTAAAACCCTTTTGCCATTTGTTTTGCTAGCATGTGAGATATGCATGTGCACACAAAGACACTGTTGCAGGTTTTCAGGATACATACTTGCCAGACAGATCAGTGACGTGCACAAAGGTGTCGTTGAAGGATGCGAAGATGTGACAAACTCCAAACACATTCTCCCCCTCAGCTACCTGAGGTCCTAGGCTGATGACCTGCTCTTCCTTCTTTTCCTTACCCTTGCGAGGAGCCATTGCTGAAACACACAGTCAACAGTCAGAACAGTTCAATTAAAAAAAAAAAACATTCAATTAGACATGGTAGAATTAAATACAAGATGTTTTTTGTAGCGATAATACAAAAGAAATTCATCTCTAGATAACGACATACATCACGATAAAGTAACATTTCTGTAAATTCAATCAATTTAGTTTACATACATCATTGACAGATAGAAAATACTTTTGCATTAAACGAATATACTAAAATCTACTCAATTTGTGAGCATATTACTTAATTACAACTTTAGGGCAAATTTTTTCTTAGAGTTAAAAGCATTAATAAAATATAATGCAAACTAATCATTACAGAGCATACAAATAATAATGCCAACTTAAAAGAAATGGCAAATGTAAACAGTGTACTTTTAAGATTGCACACTTGCACAACTTTCTCACGATGCTGTAATTCGTGTTTCTTTCTGCATCCCTGAAAAGGCTTTATTTAAGAAAGTTATTTACAATTATAAGTATTTAGCAACCATAACAGAATGAAATAACCGACAGAACATAATATGAAACGAGACTTTAGATCTTGCCCATTTGTTGGTCATATTGCACAGCCAAAGTAAAAAACATGGGAAAATATCCTGACGTACAAAAATAACGAATTAGTGTGTAATCTTAGCCAGAGACTTGTTTTCAACGAAAAAGCATCTATTACGATAAACTACTGAGAAACAAACGCCTAGACACACTGCGGGGATCTAGAAAACATGCCTCCAGACGCTTAGCCAGCACTGTCAGTCAGCACGAGTTCACTATTAAAACACGTTAGTTTTAAATTCAAAATTCAAATCATTTGCTACTGTAAAAGCATTAGATCAAACTATCCCCGATCACGGTGAACACCTCGAGCTCCAGCTGCTCCAGGCGGATCAACATGGAGCCAGACCCCGCTTCACAGACCTCCTCAATCCGTCTCAAATACTGCTCTTTCCACATTTTTTGGGAATAATATCGCGTTGTGGCGGTGAGTGAGGTGTTAGTGGACATCAGGAAAACTCAATTTTAAGTGTTTTTATTTTAACAAATGTAGGATTTGACAGGATTAAGTTTGTCTCCTCTTACCTATGTGTGTCTCTAATCGAGGCCGAAACAGGAAAGGAAAGAAAAATCGCTGCCGGGTTGAAAGTTCAACATCTGCAAGCGGAAGTAATAGTGTGCAAATATATAATAAAAGTCCTGTTGCCTGTTAATATAAAAATGTCTGTCAAAATGTTAAGCAGGATTTAGAAGTAATATAAAATGAAACAGTATAAATATATACAGACGCATCAAAAGAATCAATTGGTAAAACTGGAGCGGCAGTATATATTCCCAATATAGAGCTAAAATACAAAAACGAACCTCAAATCCCCTCTCTATTTACTCTGCTTAAATGTGCCAATTATAATAGCACTACAATGGGTAGAGGAAGTCCATGGAAGTCAAGCCATACAACCAGTGATCTGTCCAGACTTAATGCCATCTCTGTTGAGTATTCACAGAGGGAAATCTGATTGCAGGCAGGATCTTTTTTAAACGAAGTTCATCAGCTGATATTCCAAAGTCAAAGGACTCATATACAGTTTGGGTCCCAGCTCATTCTGGTATTGAGGGTAATGAGATGGTAGATAAACTGGCAAAAGAAGCTATTAAATCAAATCAAATAGAAATACAAGTTCCTCTTTGCAAATCAGAAATCAAAACAATAATTATAGATGGTGTTAATAGATTATGCCAATTTACTAACACGGCAGGAGGAAAAATGGTTTACAAGATTAAGAATAGGACATACAGGGTTAAACAGTGGATTGTATTATAGGGAAACATCAAAATGGAATGTGTGCATATAGAACCAGAATCCGTAAAACACCGTCACGTTTACTGTCTTGTAGAAAATATTTAGAAGAACGAGAAAAACAGAAAGTATTTAAGAACATTAAAGCACATATTAAGTCTGTCTGAAACAAGTTCAACAGTTAATGCAGTTATACAGTTTCTGAAAATAACACAGCAAACAAATATTTAGGGTTTCCTTTTTTTTAATATACACACACATCCCTAAAATCACATCTTATTCCAGAAGGTGGCGGTAATGCAATAAGTTTGCAAGCTGCCAAATACCACAGAAGAAGAATATTAAAACGTTTTATTTTGTATCTTTCTTCGTGTTTTAGCTTGCTCTGTTAAACGAGCTCGTTTATTTAAAGCAAATCTTGTTCCACATAAAAAAATACTAGAAGTAAATACTAGCTGAACAAGTTCATAGTCGAAAAAATACTATAATTCAGAGTAAATACTTGTGGTTTTGAATTATGCCTAAATAAAAATACTGTATATTGTAGTATTTATAACACTTTGATATTATTGCTACATCATGCTGTAGTATAATTAGCTATAGTGCACGGATAAACAGTACTACAGTATACTTTAGTTTTCACTACGTAACATGAAAAAAATGCCTAACTACTAAAAAAGAAAAAAAAAAAAGCTTACCAGCCTAAGCTGGTTTGGTGGTTTTATAAAACTCCAGTAAACTAAATAAATTGCAGAATACATAATTGTATTTATTACATCTCATTACACTATGGTCTATAGCATTAATGAATACATATGAAATTACAAAAAAAGATGCCCCGTTTCTATTCATGTTTAGAATAATTAAAAACAACAGTTGAAATCAGAATTGATAGCCCCCCTGAATTATTCGCCCTCTTGTTTATTTTTTCCCCCAATTTCTGTTTAATGTAGAGAAGATTTTCTCGACACATTTCTAAACATAATAATAACTAATTTCTAAAAACTGATTTATTTTATCTTTGACATGATGACTGTAAATTTTAAACTGTAAAGACACTTCTTTACAGCTTGCTTAAAGTGACATTAAGGCTCAACTAGGTTAATTAGGTTAACTAGGTAGGTTAGGTTAATTAGGCAAGTTATTGTATAACAATGGTTTGTTTTGTAGACTAGAGAAAAAAAGCTCAAAGGGGCTAATAATTTTGACCTTAAAATGGTGTTTAAAAATAAATTAAAAATGCTTTTATTCTAGCCGAAGTAAAACAAATAAGACTTTCTCCAGAAGAAAAAATATTATCAGACACACTAAGAAAATTTCCTTGCTCTGTTAAACATTATTTGGGAAATATTTAAAAAAGAAAGAAAATTTTTAAAAGGGGGGCTATTAATTCTGACTTCAACTGTATATATTAGTCAGAATAACCCTGACATTCAATAACAACTAATTTAAGCACTTGTTTTTCTGACCAATAAACACCAAAATCAGCTCTTATTTCAATCTTAATCTAGATGTGATTTTTCTGGATCACAGGCTTTTGATCCACATCCTCCAAAAAGAATGATCTTTCCATAGAGACGAGCACAGACGTCCAGCTGATGCTCTTCTCTTAAACACTGGTGTGTCGCTCTCATATAATAACACACATAAACTACAGCTGCATCACAATCTGTCAGCGGCAGGGCATCTGTGAGCATGGCTCGCATCGACAACACACACGCACGCACATGCACACACAGTGTGTGGCCAGAGCCGCTCACTCCATCATCCTGACACCAGCAATGAGCCACTACATTAAACACACGCTCTTCATTTACATTCACAAAGACCAACACACTCTATATCTATACAGTTACAGCACATCATCACTGTTCAATAGAGATGCTCAGACCGTCCTCTAAAAGACATCTGTATAATAATGGACAGTTTATTAGGCACAGGAAAATGCAATATATATATATATAAATATACACCACTGGTCAAAAGTTTGGGGTCAGTAGGATTTTTAAATATTTAAAAACTAAGCTTCTCCTGCTCACCAAGACGGCATTTATTTGATCAAAAATACAGTAAAAGTTAATTGTAAAACTGTGAAAAGTTATTGCAATATAAAATAACTATTCAAAAGTATCATTTATTAAATTATTATTACAGTAATAAGAAAAAATATTAGATTTAAAGATTTTCAGCTTCATTACTCCAGTCCTTAGTCACATGATCCTTCAATTATTCGTTATTATTATTGTTAATATTGTTATTATTAAACATTCTTTTTTCTGTAATTTAACATCAGTACAAATGATAACTTTTACACATGTAAAATTTGTAACATCACGTTACTATTATATGTATAAGAACTAAAAAAAAGAGAAAAGTGGGCGGAAGAGAAAAAAGAAGAAAAAAAGACAGAAATAAGAAGGGAATTTAAGGTATTTCTTTTAGGGTTCAATAACTGCTCTCGTGTTAAAGTACTCAATAAATGGATTTTAAGGGAAAGTCTGAGCTGCTCAAGTTGCAGGCAGGACATGACATTTTTTTTATTAATGTGGAGCAATGGGGAGGATCTTTTAATTTCCAGTTCTGTAAAATTAATCTACGTGCCAAAAAGGTTATAAATCTAATCACTGTACACTGCTTTTAGATAATTCTGCTTCATCACTGCCCGACACCAAATATAGCTAAAATAGGCCCAGGGTATTATTATTATTACTGGTAATAGAAATTTAATCAATAATATTTGGTGTAAGGATTTTATTTGAAACTACATACAATAAGACAGTTATTTGAAATGTTATTAAATATTTAAATTATTATATATATA